TTGGGGAAGGGGCCAGCGGGCGGGGGGACGGATGAGCGGCTCGAAATGCTCAACCACCACGTGTGTGACGGCGGATGAGCGGAGTGGGGAATTTTTTTTCAGAGGCCAGTCCGCTCAGCAGGAGGCAGGACTAGGAGCCGCGTCCGACGCCCGTGGGCCGTGGCAGAGCATTTCTGATTTTAAAAATGTATCATTAAAGTAGGTTAAGTTGGACTAAATTTATATAAAAAATTATTAATATTTGTCGTACTAAATAGGTACCATTAGATTCATCATCAAATATATTTTCATAGTATACTTACTTCCTATCTTAAACTTTAGTACTTTTATTTATATATTCAGTCAAACTTTAGTCTTTAATCGAGAATACATCTAAAATTGTTTTTTTTTTCTTGGACGGAGGTTGTAGAAAACACACAAGGTAGGCAGTGAGGGGGAAAAGCGGATGCGTAGCTTGATGGGGGCGATTTGGCGACATGAAAGCTGCCGAGGATGGGTTAAAGTGGACATTTGAGTGACAATATGGGTTACTGTACGAATGTGGGACGGTGGCCTGAGGACCAGAGGTTGCAAACGAGATGGAGTGATGGACCATTCCATGTATCCTTCGTCTACAAATATAAGTGGACTACTAGCAAATATGACGTACATTACAACGGAACCTGCCACCCAATACTTCTTCAAATCAGACCTCGACATAAATTGTTCTAACTCTTATTAAGTACGGATTGTAAGTTCGGATCACATAGCACCTTATTCTGCAGCACTATTTCAGCAGTACTTTTCAGCGAACGAATACTGTTTTTCTCTCAAAACAAATCAGCATAAGCATCAGCAACAGCCAAATTTCAGCGAAACGAATATGGCCATGGACTACAGATGTGAGGCCACTTTGGGAAAGAAGACGGACCGAAGAAAATATTAGGTATACATAAGTTTTTCTAAGTCAAGCTATCCTATGTTTGATCATGTTTTATAAAAAATAAAATAATAAAATAATATCTACAATATTAAATTAAGAGATTTTTTACCACGCTCGGAAAAAATGAGAGCCATCCGTTGGGCTCCGAATGATTAAGAAATAGGAGGAACCTAATAAAAGGAACTTAAGTTGTGGGTCGAGACCAAAATTTAGTGGGTTCAGAACTAGCTCTGATTAAATCGTGAAGGGTAAAATGGTACTCTCCTTCACGATCACCGGCAATGCGGGCATCTTCATTTGCATGCACAGTGGGAGACTTTGTCCTGTTCGTTCGGGCTTTTTGGCTTGTTTTCAATCAACGAACAGTATTTTTCTCTCACACTAAATCAATCAACAGCCATGACTTATAAATCAAACACGACCCAGCGAAACAGGCTGCTTCTCGGCTTCCTGACGCTCCTCCGCGGTGGATGGGCAAGTTGATCAATTCAACAAGTAAGCCGCTGGGTCCTCGTCTGGGATACTGGGATTGCTTGGAGTTCGACTTGTACGTACTGGATCTACTAATTCGGTACATCACCTAGCAGTGACCTCTAGGAGACTACTAATTCGGTGCTCCGGCTCCGCACCTCCCCTATGTTCAATTGTAAGAAGAGCGCGTCCAGGATGGCGAGATCCCCGAGCTCGGTTGAATCTCGCTGGAGGCTGCGCAGCGAGCGTGGGCGTCGGAGCGGCGGGCGGATGGCCAACGGCACGACACGGCGGGTGGCACCGCGAGGTGCGCGCGGACGGTGTGCGGCGCGATGATGCAGGTGAGCGTGGAATATGGCAGCCTGTTCGGGAGACCGTATCGTATCGTGGATTATTTACTGCTGGCTGGTTTGCAGCCTGTTCGCTTGTTGGTTTCAGCCAGCCCAAACCAGCTAGCCAACAGTGTTTTTCTCTCACAAAAAACCAGCACCAGCCAGCCCAAACCGGCACCAGCCCCAACCAGCGAACAGGCCCTTAGTGTGAGAGAAAAACACTGTTCCCGACTGAAAATTTACGATCGTTTACGAACAAGCGAACAGGCTGCGCGCCTTCATCAATCCGCGTCACCATTTACGAGTCCACCGCTCCACCCCTCGGCCACTCACCCTCGTCATGCTCCAGATGATAGGAGAGGATCTGTAAGCCGACTATGGTGTGGAGCAGTCCTGCCACGACCAAGCTGTCCTTGTTGCCTACCGCAAGCCCCCATTCGTCACGGTGACCCCAGAAGTGGCAGGCAGGCGGCAGTGACCCAAGGAGGCGAATGGCGGCGACCAGGTGCAGGATGCCCGTTGGCGGTGGTGACGTAGGGAGTCAGAAAGAGATGTGGCGGACCCTCTAAGTTACCTTAGTGACAATTAGGCCCCGTTTAGTTGCAAAAATTTTTGGCTTTTGGCTACTGTAGCACTTTCGTTTTTATTTGGCAAAAATTGTCCAATTATGGACTAATTAGGCTTAAAAGATTCGTCTCACGATTTCTCGGCTAACTGTACAATTAGTTTTTTTTTTCGTCTACATTTAGTACTCCATGTATGTGCCGCAAGATTTGATGTGACGGTTACTATGCAAAAAATTTTGGTTTTTGGCTTCAACTAAACGGGGCCTTAATAAATTTTTTTCATGGTGAACGGTTGCCAAATTTCGTCTCGTTCTTCAGCATTATTTTTCAACGAATAAACTGTGTTTTTCTTTCACAACAGATCAACATAACCATAAGCATCAGCTAAATTTCAGCGAAACGGACCTTTTTTTCTTTAGGGAGGAACCACCGGTTCCACCCAAGCAATGTAACAAGTCTCTTAAATTAAAAAAATTGGTTTTATAGCTTCGAAAGATCGTGAAAATAAAAAAATACCAGTGAAAAAACTCTGTTATATGAAATACCATTAAAAGATGGAACTGTTATTTAAAAATAGCATTCCCTACGTCCAAGGCAACTCGTCGGCACTGGGGATCTCCGTCGATCTAATAAAGGCAAAAAAATAAAGAAAAAATAAAAACAAATCCACTCCAATCTCGATTGCTCTGTTCGCTTGACTTATAAGCCGTGCCTTTTCAGTTAACGACCAGTATTTTTCTCTCGCAATGAATTAACCACCTTCAGCCAAGTGAACAGGGCAGATATCGCGGGGTGCGCATGCGCTGGCGGCCACGATGCCGAGCTCCGCCGCGCCAGCACCCTGCCTCACCCAGGCTGGGGCTGGCTGGCCGCGCGCTCCACCCTGCCTCCGCCCACGATGTCTGGCGTGCTCCGCTCCACGTCCGTGCTAGTCGGCAACAGGGCGATCGCGGGGGCCATGCCCGAGGCTGGCGGCGGCGGCGGCAGCAGCAGCAGCACTTGGCCTCGTCGATGCCAACACCTCTGCACACCCGCGCTGGTCGGCGACAACGCCATCTCCCTCAGCGGCAGGGGCCATGCCCGGCGGCGGAAAATAATATTCCTACGGTTTATTTATTTGATGTGATCGATGGTAATGTTGTTAACTTAATTAAGTTTAGAATAGTCTGATGAGTTATGTCAATCTCAAAATCTATCATATCAACGGAGGGATTAGATCCAAAGGCTGAAAATATTTATAAAATCCAGGTGTCTCAAATATACGGAGTACTAGCGTTACTTTTATTCTTACCGGCTAGGACAGCTATGCTGAGAGGGCACTTAACCTGCAAACGCCGACCAAAAACCAACCTACTCCTAGTTGAGACAGCTTAAACAAGGTTTGTCAAGCTATGCTGAGTAACTTTGTTTATAGAACAAAAACCAACGTAACTTACGTAGTTCTAGCGGCCCTTGCCGCTACCACTACGACGTAGCGGCTTGGATATAGAAGGTTGGAACTTAGCGTCCGCTATTTGACGTAGCAAGCCACTATAGCGGCCGTTATTTAATGTAGCGGTTCACTATAGTGGCCTAAGTCAAGAACATAGCTAGTTCATTCTTAATTAAAATATATTTGATCAAGAATCAACTCTTAGAATACAATTAAATATCTATTTACACTATGTTGTATCTGGTTGATTTTTCTAATGTGTAAGAAAGTCATTTTTAAGAAATAAATATACCTAAATTACATGAGATTATTATATAATGTTAATGGAATTTAGCGTCCGATATGGCGTCTGCTATCCGTAATCCGCTATGGAGACGTTAATCCGCTGTAGACACGCTATCCGCTATTTATTACCTAGGTTGAGACAGCCTAAACAGGGTTTGTTAAGATTAGCAGGACTACTGACACTTTGGCTAATGTGGCTGCAAAGCCGAGCAAAGAACACGGCAAAGCTGCATGTCTGCAGTCTGCTAGTGCTAGTGCCCAGTGTCCTCCTGTGGCTCGCCTCAGCGTCACCTCAGATTCCTTGTGCTCGATGCACGCTCTGCAGCCTGCAGCTGCACGCACGCGTACTCACACGAGGATGGGGTCACTCCATCACTGGAAGTACTGTAACTGCCGACAGGCCATTATCCCCATGCTATAAACTTGACGGTAATGGTACGGCAACTCGCTGATTAATTGCTACTCCCACAGTACTCCAGTGTGAAATGGGGGTGTGACCGGAGGAAAAGCAGTAGAAGGGCTGTGGAAAACTGGAGAGAGCATACGGCTTCTTTGACCAACGTTCGGCTGCACTATGGCTACAGCATCGTGTGATACTGTGATCGTTCGGTGGGCCCCAGCTTCTCTGCTGCAGGAGTACGGGCTTTTTTGGCCCTTTTTCTCTCCTCTTGTTTATATTAATATATATAATAATAATCCTGTGCGCAGCAGGCGCGGCTTTAACACGCAGACATGTGCCAGGAAACACGCGGACATGCCGTGCGTTGACGCTTTGACTACACGGCCCGTTGGAGTCTGGGGCCCATTCCAGGCCTTTTTTTTTTTTCCTTCCTTCTGAGTTCTGAGGCCTTGGGAGAGAGCTGGACTTGCTGGAAGGTAGGAGATGCACTTTACTGTTACTGTATCTTTCTTTGCGTGGGAGATGCACTTTACTGTATCTCATAGCCTGACGATTGAAGAAGTTCATAGAAGCATCAGGCCTGAGCCCCGAGATGGAGCATCTCAGGGCCGTAACAAATGTAGCGTCAGAGTACACGCATCTGATTGAGTGCCACCGCCTGAACGGAGGGAGAACGACGATGATCCTTCTACTGCTGTTGGCGTCCCTGCTCGCCTCCCCGTCTGCCTCCACGCGGCCGGGCTTCGACTACTTCGTGCTGGCGCTGCAGTGGCCGGGCACCGTCTGCCGGAGCAGCGCCGCTGGCCCATGCTGCTCGTCCAATGCTTGCTGCCGGTCAGTACACCTTCCTGTGTCTTCGGAAACCAGTACCTCGTGCATCAAATTCATCCAGGGCACTGATCGAAACGCATGTTTGCTGCACTCTTCTTTGCAACTCGGCAGCTCTGATCCTATCCGATGGTTCACAATTCGTGAGTTTCTGTTCTTCTCTCGTTTACCACTAGAATTGCAGAGTGCTCTGCATGCTCCGTTCCATCCATCCGATGTGTCCATCAACACATTTCTTGCTATCCCAGATGGGCTCTGGCCAAATTATGCCCAAGGGGACGGACCAACTTGCTGCAACAACCCAGATTTCGACATGGCAAAGGTCTGCTAGATTGCTAGTAACCGCTAAGCCGAAGCCACATCTGATTGACAGAACATGGCATCCGTAAACGCTGTAGTACTGTTGTGTCCCTGCCAGGTCTCAAACCTCACGACGGAGCTTCACGAGTACTGGCCCTCGCTATACTGCAGCTCACCGTCTCTCTGCTCCGGGGGCCATGGATCTCTTTGAGCCCATGAGGTAAACAGCGGACCCGAAACCAGTTCTCCTCTTGCTTCGTTTCAGGCTTGTTCAGTTGCGTTTCATGGGCTCACAAGATCCCACCATCCTGTAATGTAATGCATGTCATGGGCGCGCACGGCCGGCTGCTGCGTTTCTTCAGTGGGGTAATTAATCTGCATCCAGTTGCTCAAATGATCCACTTCCATTTGTAGCATCAATGCCACTGAAATTTCGTATCAGTAATGTTCAGTTTTTCTGATTACAGAAAAGCACGGGACATGCTCGTACCCGGTGATACAGGACGAATACAGCTATTTCTCTACGGCACTGCACCTGTACTCTAACTACAACGTCACAGTAAGCAACGCCGCAATCCAGATCCATGCACACTCATTGCACTTCTGATCTGACTGATACGTACCATAGCGTTTTGTTCACATCTTGTTTGGCACATTTAGCTGATGAATAACGATGATAGTGTTGCTGACTTCGCATAGTGTTGTGCGTCAGGCTATGCTGGCAAGCAAGAACAGCGTAGGCGCAGATGATGGTGGCGACTATCTGGTAACTGACCTTGTTGTCACTATCAGAAGCTCCTTTGGAGCGGTTCCTTTGTTCATCTGTGAGCGAGGATCGTTACGGGAACTCAGGTTGTGCTTCGACAAGGATCTCAAGGTCATTCATTCCTCTGGCAAGTCGTGCATCTTAGCTGTTTGTTTAGTTTCTTGTGTTAGGATCAATTGTGTGTACCTCACTGTGATCCGTATATCCGAGTAGGTTCCTAGCCCTTCAGTAGATGCACCGCAGCGGTGTCATGATGTAGAAGGCGTCCAGGCGCCGGCGAGATGAAGTCTAGTGCGTCGGCGGTGTCTTGCGATGGGAGACGGCGGTGGTTGAGGCACATCCGCATTTGGCAAGAGCTCTTTAGATCGGTATTAGGGTTTCAGAGGTGGGTGTGGCGGCTCGGTGAACCTCTTTCGAGCTCGATCCCCACCTTCTCTATTTGTATGTCTTTGTCATGATGAGGGTCCACCAACCGATTAGGGTTGGGCTCCCCGATCGTGAGAGAAGCGAGCCAAGGGCCCAATAGGCGTTGGTGGAGATCAACTAACATTCTCCCTATTGATCTCATTCTATCTTTCACTTTCATATCATTTACTTTTGTTCATTCCATTTGATTAGCTCATAGAGCATGTCTCATAAATCACGGTCCATTGCCGATAGACTTAATGACTATAACTCACTACTGTTTCGAAATAGATACTTATCTTTGGGCCTTCTTTTGTCCAGGAATATTTTAGGCTTTCCCTTAAACCCAAGCTAGCTACATGTTCTATGAACACCATGTCCTCTGAACATGTTGGGTGGTAAGCCTTTTGTAAGCGGATCCGCGAGCATCCTTTCTGTTCTTATATGCTCAAGACTTATAACTTGATCCCGGACTTTATCTTTCACAACATAATACTCTATGTCAATGTGTTTGGCAGCACCACTTGACTTATGTTGTGAGCATCCTTTACTGCCAGATTATAATCGCAGTATAACTTTAGTGGTCTATAGATGTCGTCAACCACCTTCAAACCGGGTACGAACTTTGTTAGTTAGTTCACCTGCCCGTTGCCTCATATCACGCTACAAACTGTCATACATTGTGGACGATGTAGTGACGGTTTGCTTTGAGCTTTTCCATGAAATAGCTCCCTTTTGCGAGATGATAGAAAATCCACGTCTGGATATGCATTCACTCTCGCATCATCAGAATCTGAATATCCCACCATGTGGAGTGAATCATGTCTTCTATATGTCATCATGAGGCCTTTCGTTCGTTGCAAATAATGCAAGACTTTCTTTACTAATTTCAGTGTTCTATTCCAGAATTGCTCTGGAATCTGCCAAGTAAAACCCGGTAACAAATGCCAAGTCAGGGCGCGTACATACTTGAGCATGTTGCAAGCTTCCGACAGCTGAAGCATATGGAACCACTTTCTCTTTATCGATTGAGCTCAACTTGGTTCCTAGGGCATTGAAAATCTCCATATCTGTCGCCCTTGACTACAGGAGCAGGTGAGGGACTACATTTGTGCATACTGAATTTCTTTAAGATCTTTTCCATGTATGCCTTTTGTGACAGTCATTATATCCTTTTCTTCTATCTCGATGAATCTCGATCCCTAGAACGAACGAGGCTTCGACAAGATCTTTCATATCAAGTTTTGAGAACAAAACTTCTGTCTCCTGTAGTAGACTGACATCACTACTAGCAAGTAAGATATCATTTACATACAGGATAAGGAAGATAAACTTCCCAATCTTAAACTTTGCATAGACACAATTGTCCTCTACACTCTCTTTAAAACCCAAAATTCTTTATTGTCTGATCAAACTTCAAGTACCACTATCTTGAAGCTTGTTCTAATCCATAAATGGATTTCTTTAGGCGGCATCCCATTCGTTCTTTTCTTTCCATGACAAAACCTTCCGGTTGTGCCATGTAAACATTTTCCTCCAAGTCTCCGTTGAGGAATGCCGTGTTTACATCCATCTGATGTAATTCTTAATCGTAATGTGCCACTAATTCTATTATTATTCTGAAAGAATCCTTACATGAGACTGGAGAAAAGGTCTCATTGTAATCAATCCCTTCTCTTTGCACAAAGCCTTTTGCCACAAGTCGGGCTTTATATCTCTCTATATTCCCTTGAGAGTCAAGTTTTGTCTTGTAGACCCATTTACAGCCTACTGTTTTGGCTCCTTTAGGAATTATTTTCAAGTCCCAAACTTTATTGGCATTCAATGATTTCATTTCATCTTCCATGGCCTCAAGCCACTTTAATGATTGATCACTACTCATGGCTTCTTCAAACGAGGCGTGATCATCCTCCATTTGAAATTCTTTAGTGTTGTACACTTCATAATCAGCAGGAATAGCTGATTTTCTAACTCTTTTGAGGCCTACTAGGGGCCTCCACATTTGGCACATCTTCTGTTTGAGGCTGTTGTTGCTCCCCCTCATGTGTGGCAATTGATTCTATTGGATCCTGAATTACAGGTTCCTCATTTTCATTCATTGTTGCCATAGGTGGGATAACAACAGGTGCTGGCACCACAGTATCTAGCACAGTCGGTGCAGCTACAGCAGGTAGTGAGAGAATTAGCTCATGAATCATTGGAGTGGGCGCTTACACCCGCTTCGCTTCAAGGTCAATTTCTCGAGCTACCATGCTCCCCCTATATCTTTTCATCCTCTAGGAAAGCAAGTGTCTCGTTTCCACAAACTTTGTGTGTCTCTCGGGACAGTAGAAACAAAACCTTTTGACTTTTCTATGTAGCCAAACAAATGGCAACTTACTGTTTTGGGATAAAACTTCCCAATGTTTGGGTTAAATACTTTAGCCTCAGCAGGGCTCCCCCACACACACGCAAGTGGTTTAGTGAGGGTACTCTTTCTATCCACAACTCATACGGCGTTTTGGGCACCGACTTTCCTGGTACTTTATTGAGAATATGAATGGCCGTTTTCAACGTCTCCATTCACATGCTCAACTGTAAGGTGGAGTAACTTATCATACTGCCCACCATATTCATGAAGGTACGATTGATTCTTTTAGCTACTCTATTCTCGGCGAGGTTCGCCTTGGGTGTAGAATCTTTGGGCTACTATGCCATTCTTTTAGGGTATGCCAAGCTGTGGTACTCCCCACGATCAGACCTGACTATCTCAATCTTTAATATCTTAAATTTATCCAATACATCTTTTCTTTCTTTGATTGGATAAATATAGCCATAATGGGAGTAATCATCTGTGAATGTTATGAACGAAACATAACCATCCACACTCTTTACAGGAAAGCTGATCACAGATGTCTGTGTGAATAATCTGTAAAATTCCTGCGCTTCTTTTGTCATCTTTCTTAATCTTCTTTACATACTTTTCTTTTATGCATTCTCTGCATTGTTCTAAATCTGAGAGCTCTAATGGAGGAAGAATATCATTCTTAACTAGTCTTTCTATTCTCCCCCTCGAAATATGGCCTGAACGATAGTGCCATAATTTCGACAACGCATCGTGAGCTCTCTTATGCCACCTTTTCAAGATTAACACTCTGTGACCAGCTGTTTTATCAGCTAAGTGGCATATGTCTTTGAATAGCCAGTGAACTGACTCTTTATTCTATCGAGGTATTCGGTGACAGTGTCACATTCTGGGATTGAGCCCACAATTGCAGGTTCAATCATGTTCTTTATCACCGCCAAACATTTCTTGTTTGCAGTGACCCACTTCCTATGCTCAAAAGCCATAGGATATCTTTTGGGATTCAAAATCCCTTTCTTTAGTTGCCCAAGTGGCATCATTCTCTTTTGTCTCCCTCACCGGTGCCACAAACTCAGTGGAACGTAGTGAGGTGACTACCCAGTCCACCTTAGACAAGATGAAAACCAGATCAAAACTTTTCTTAACACAAAAATAACACCATTTGCATGCCTTGATTCCAACGTTGGTCAAAAACAAAACATACAATTATTCTTATACACTAATTCTACATTACTGCTTGAAAGTAGAAATAGAATTAATGCATAAATCTTTAACTTTCACTGGCTTGTTTTACACACTAATTCTACATCACCCGTTGGGCAGAAGTAGAATTAATGCATAAATCATTAAAATTAACAACTTTTCTTATACACTAATTCTACATCACCGTTGGGTAGAAGTAGAATCAATACATAAATCATTAAAATTACGATATTGTTATTAACAACGTTGGTGGAAAATAACAACATCATAATCATATCAAAACTATTTTTCTCCAATTAAATACCACATTGGTTCAAAATAACTGGAGAATCAACAATTTCTTTAGCAGCGGAAAAACTTTCTTTTTTTTTCTCCAATTAAATACCACGTTGGTACAAATTAACCAGGAGAATAAACAATTTCTCTATTTGTGGAAAAACTATCTTTTCCTTGAATTTTACCCTGAGGAAAATTTCTTTAAAAAAAAAACAAA